GAAGTAGTGTTAAAACAAATCCTTAGAATTCAGATTATTTAAAAATATTAAATTCAAATTAATGTAAATATTATTATTAAATTCAAATTAATGTAAATATGATTTCCTGTTGAATTTGTTCATGTAATTGGGCTAGTATCTACAGTTTATTTTTTTTAGTTAATACCGTATGAGATATTAAACACATTGATCTTTTTTATCTTTTTTTATGGTACATATTTGTGTGGAACACTATCAAGGCTTATAAAGTGAATTGAAGGACTTTTTCAGTGTATTTGAAAGCTACAGATGTAGATGTAATTTCAATGCAAAGGTGTCTGAAGACTGCTTGGAAATTGGTATCTCTTAATGTATTTGAGCGTTTTGCCATCACCCATGTTTTATTTAAACACTACTTCTTTTGATGCTGAAAATCTATTGACAAGATAGCTCTGAGAGAGGGTCTGGGTACGTATAAGTGGTCCTTTGAGAGAGTATTGCTCCAGTAGAGATAATAGGATCTTTTCTGTTGGAAGCAGGAGTGGACCTTTTGTTTACAAATCACTTTGCCAATGCACAGCAAATAATCTTATATTAGGTTTTATTTTAGTTGGAAAATATGGAACAATAGTGGCCAGGGTGTGACTCTCTGATTGAAGATGATAACAGGAAGAGACCGATAGTACCTTGCATTTTTCATACAGGTTCCAGCTGCAATCATAATTTTTATATTTGATTGTGACTGTTTTCTCGGAGTAGCAACCTTTTAAGATCAGGGCCAAGGCCTTTCTTCAGATTTTGGTTGTCCATAGTAGGTGTCTCAGTGTCGCTTCCCAAATCCCCAGTCCAAGGCAATGCTGTGCTACAACTACAAGTCAGGATGACATCCAGACACACATCTTTCCCTTCTTCCACCCTTGTTGGCAGGTGAAACCTGAGTGTATGAACTGGGACATGACTGCAAGTTGTTATTCACTTGGTCCCCTGAACTGGGGAATGGATGGAGTAGGATTTCGGTCCATCATAGAGTATACCTGTCCTGCAACGTAGGCATAATTGTCCTGGTGTATCTGAATGGGGATCCAAATCATTCTACCTGAGCAGAGGAGAGGCTGGGACATGGGTCTGCATCTTAAAATCCTAGCCTCACACTAAAAGGTTTAAAGCCAATAATAAAGGTATTAATTACACCATCAAATTTTATAACCATTCCTAAGACCTTTATCCTCTCTGACATCTAATGAGAGAGTGCACGTTGTCTGGCAGTGTGATTAGCTCACAAAAGGGAGATATTAGAGTATTAGCCATTACTGAGCAGATGGATCATTACACAGGATCTTAATCCAAGAAATAAATATTCCAAGTTAGTCACATTTGGAAGATACGAAATATTTAAATAAAGCTTTAAATACCTGTGAGGATTAACAAGGATCTAACTTTATGGTGTGACAACATACATACCAGATGATGGAATGAGGAATCTGTAAGGCTTTTCATCTTTTCTAAGTTTAGTGAAGCTCACTCAGTCATGATAGGTGTTTGTAGTCAAGAGAATATGGGCCACAGGAATCCTGTGCATGAGTATTCAGCATAGGAGACTGCAGTCAGGGGACTCATTTGCCCATTGCTGGTGATCTAGTATTATTCATACTGTGTTTTCGGAAGTTGTTATTTTTAGAAATACAGAAATAATGAGTACTGTAGAGTTTTGTTGTGCTTGCTTTCTAAGGTTGAATACAAAGGAGATGGAAATGTTGATCAAGCCACTTACAGAGGTAGAAAAAATGACAGCCTTAGTTTGAATAACCAGCTCTTTACCTCACTAGGAATTTATAAGTATTTAAATCTATATTTTTACAAATATGCCAACTGAAAATCACTACATTGTTTGCACTTCGTAGTTTGGTATTTGGCTGTAATACACATTTGAGTTAGTATGTTGATCCCAGAACAACTTTTTGAATTGGGTTACACTTCAATGTTACATCGAAGGCAGTGCTGTTAGGCTAAGAATATATACTTAGAGTTCCCAAAAAAATGCTTTTCACTCACGTTCTTTGTTACAAGTAAGACACTTCACCATTTGAAACAAGAATGAATGCAGAGCAATTTAGAGAGAGGGTTGCACTGAGAACTGTAATCTGTTTCATCAGATTACCATGAAAAGAAGTTTCTTGCCTCTGAAAAAAATCTTGAAAGTGTGGTATTATTAAGGTATGTCATTCATGCACTCTTCCATCAATTTCTGTACCTAGTGTTTGCAACTTCAAATCTTCTTCCCTGCAAACTCTGCCTGGAAGTGCATAGAGTCTTCATTTGCTTGTAACATCTTCTAGATGATCTACACCCCCGCTGATACCTGTGCAAACTCATGACTGATAGACCATATCGCAAGGGGTTAAGTAACTTAACACCAAGCCCACACCAACTAAATTAGACAATATTCCTATGCCTTGCAGAGTCAGAGAGTAAAGAATTTTGAAAATTCTGGAGCAGGAGCCACAGGCATAACATCAGAGATTATAGTTAAGGATGTGGAGACCACCTTTCCTAGAGTAATGTATAAACCAGCAGGAAAACAGATTGCAGCATACAAGTCTCATGTTGTGAGACTCCAGGGCTACAAGTTCAGACTGTAGATTTTTTTTCTTCTTTCAGTGATCTTTTCCATTTCTGTGTTCTCTGTCCTTGCTTTCATTGTGCTCTTTTTTTCAAACACATGTCCCTGTTGCTGTTTTCTCCGTTTTCCTCCTGCCTTCTGGACCAGTCTTTCTTTGTAGTCTTTGACAGTCTGTTGTGAAAGATATACAATGTCCTTCTTTTCCTCCAGAAGCTCTTATTTTCCACCTGTGTCTTGACTGTTACCAGTCACATGCAAATTTCTCGAGTGGGTGACTTCATTATCATTCCAGAAACAGAGAGTTTTGTCATACTCAAAAGTACCAGTTCCGTGTATCAGACAGAAATCACACAGTATTAGATATTATCTCTGAAGGCTTCTGACTAGGTAATGCACAGACAGATATAGCTCATATTGCTTTCATGATGAATATTTATTTCTATAATATGAACTTCATCTACACTTTGAACATTATGTGTAATTTTTATCATTGGTGCTCAACATAAAAGTGATGGAAAAGATGAAAGAAATAATGTTGAAATTGTCTTGGTGTTCCACATCTCAAAGTAATGCAAAGAGATAATGACTCTTTAATGGCTGGACTAAGGCTTTTAATCCTCAATAGAGTTCTTGCTGTGATTGTTTATCTAGCACTGTCCTAGTTGTACATGCTTTGGGGAAATTCTGGAACTAAAGAGCACTCTTCATATTGGTCTGGAGGTATCTCTTGCTGGTGATGTAAGATCTTAAATAGAAGACAAAAGTTTAAAATGGCAAGCCTGGGCAACAGAGCTACTACAAGCTGCAGCTGGGCTGACCTGCAGAGAGGAAAATCCTGTAAGGTTAAAAATAGGAACTTGTTCCACCCATAGATTAACTTTGTATCTAATCCACTCATGTTCTGCCACATGGCACGCTGCCTACACACACAGACTGTATGAGGATGAGGGCAGAGGTATTAATTTACATCAGACAGTACTTTTCTTCTCATCCGTTTTTATAGTTCCAAACTAAAACAATTCTGGAAAAAATGTGCAAACGTTTTTCAAACACATAATACCAGTCAGTTATCTGCACTCTGATGTTTCTGAAGATACAAATCCATCAAACTAAAAACAGTCCATGGTTCAGACCAGTAATCAGTGCAGGTCAGTTAATTCACTCTACTTTAGTGTGCAGCATATTGTGCTGAACAAGTTGTAAACTCCATGTTTATTCAGTGCTATGGATTTATGTACGTGGTTTTATCTCTAAAATGCCTTGCTTCTGTATCATTCATGAGAGACAAACTCATTCTTTTGGGAGCTTTCTGAAACATACTTCTCATTGTATTTGTACTTTCAGTACTGAAACTTAATTCACAATTGTAAAGCTTGCAAGAAATTTTAAGATGTTTGATTAGATCAACAGGGGACAGATTCTTCAGAGGCATTATCTGTTGAGTGAGATTAAGGCAAATGCAAGTTAGCACTCCTGTGCTAACAGCAACCCAGTCTTGTTATCCTAAGCAAACTGCAGTTGAAATCCAATCACTGACATCATATTTAAGATGAAGTTGCCTTCTAGCAATTTTCCTGCTACAACTTTATTAACGTGCTTGAAGCCACTACTGTGTTTTGTTTGTTGTTTTTAATTACCACTACCCATAAACTCACACTTTGGCATTGGCTGCTTGCAGCTGAGGGAGAGAGAAAGGGATATGTAAATAAGTGGCAGTCCGTAGCATTTGCCTTTCCTCATTCCAGCACAGTCAGGCCATAAATGGATCATTAGTGCAAGGGAGAACAGCCTGAAGCTATTGCAGAAAACATTTGTCTGAAGCATCCCTGGAAGCCGAGGGGTCCGCCAAACACCGGGCATAGCAGGTCTGCCTGCTCTTGTCTGGGGCAGCTTCTAGTTGAGAGCTTCATGATGAGAGGAGGTGCAGAGCTAGGTGCTGTTCATAGCTCTTCTTTGCCAGGGGTTTGCCAGTAAAGACTGCTTTAAAGCCATAGTGATTTATGCCAGATAAGGTGACTTTAAAGTTTCTCAGCACTTGTGAGAGGTCAGATTCCAGACCAAAGTAGACTCAGCATTTCATAAAATACAAGAGATAACAAGCATACTGAAAACATTCAATTCAAATCTGTTTTTCTCTTGTAGGATTTTGTGAGAGTGTTGCATCATTGCTCTTATCTTTCGTGTTTTTAAGAAAAGAGACAGTGTAGCAAATTATTTGCTTAGTGGAAAATGTACATACAAAAGCTAAAACTATGACACACAATGGCTAAAATTATGACATTAACACTGTAAACAAATGTAAGGTACAAGAGGTCTGGTAAACTAAATATTAGTCCTAGGCAGTTGCTCACGTAATTTTAATTATGTTGCTATGTGCACAGGCAAGTACTAATTTTCCTTTTCAAAAATCATCTAGTATTGGGTAAATGAAATTATCTTTGAACAAGTAGTATGCCAAAATCTGTCCTCCACAGATCATTGAAATTACTCCAGATCCTAGAAGAAAATATAGGATTGTTTATATTAATTTTTACAGCAGAATACAAACATTACAATAAAACTTCAAGCAGACATTCTTTTAATCTTCAATTTCTTAAAAGTGGCCTGTCTATTTAAATATTTTCCCCGAGGCTTTAATCACCTACAAAAATACCAGCCCCGGCAGCTACTAACGCAAAACCAGTTTCAGGACAGAGAATTTATTTGCCTGTCCCCATCATTTAGGAATTTACTGCAGCTCTTGATCCTAGTTATTCATCATGTAGGAAGGAAAAACAGAAGCCAGTCCTTTAACTATTTTGCAAGGTAATATATTCTACTACAAAGCTATTCTTTAAATTTTACAGAAGATTAAGCATCCAGAAATGTGGGTTCACCATTCACTCTAAATGACTGGGATTTATCTCATGTATCATAAGTGTCTGTGCCTAGAGTTTATAAAAATTGTCTCTGAAGGTGCCTGTTTCTTTCCACTATCTATAAAGAATATCAAGGAATACTTGTTTGGACAACTGTCTTTCTGATACCTGAGTTAAGTGAGATAGTTTGATTAGACAGGACTTAATCACATTTTATTTCAAGAACATGAACATTTCTGCTGTTTGTTTGCAAGATTATCATAAGCTGAGTACATTCTGGTGTTAAAATGGAAGATTGTTTTTTAAAACAAGGCAAATGTTAGCCCACCATTACTTGCATGTGTCATTTAAGTATAAATGAAGAGCATGTATTTCTTTAAATGTTGACAGTTCTCAAATTAGTGAGACAATAGACATTTAATACAAACAATTCATACTGTAAATACCATTTTTCTACAGAGAGTCTAACAGTTTAAGCTTTAAAGAATGTAATTGTACCTAATGCCAACCACCAGTGTAACATCAAGGGGAATTCAGACATAACTGCAAGGAGAAGAAAAGGAGATATGTAAATTTTTAAACAAAAACGATGGGGACATGCAAACATTACATTATGTTATCAAAAGTCTGCTTAGTTATGTTTCATAAATTATTCACTGTACATTTACTGAAATTGCAAATGCATATTTAGGTCCTGATCATTCAGATACTCGGCCATACCATTAGGCTTAGCAAGCAATCCCATTGGAAGGCAAGTCTTAAACCTAGTAAGTGTGTGCTAAATGGAGCTCTTAGATTCTCTGTGGAAAAAAATGCCTTTTTTATTACTTACCTGTACATAGTTTAGCACAACAGAGACACCAGTTCCCTGGTAGGGTGCCTACATACTGCTGCAATTGAAATAAATTCAGCTGCCAGCTGAAACAATTCTATGATTTTCAGTTTAATGGGCAATGCGTTGTGTGAGAGAGGGGCTGGGGTTGCTCTCTGCGAGTGAGCCCTGGCTTCACACAAGCTTAACCACATCCCCGCTGCATGATGAAGGACCATTATATGACCCAATATTGCCCCCGCCAACAAAAAAAACCCACAAAAAATAAAAGAAAACTAAAAAACTGACAGTACTGTAGAGGTAGTAAAGTGAGATGGGAGACACACTGCATGTGCTGGCAGCTCAGAGTCAGCCAGCAGAGCTTTGGCTGGCCATCTGCAAGAAACAGTAACATTTCTGGGGTTGTTTGGACATCTAAATGCATCATCTAATACAATTATAGGAGATACCTTCCTGTATAAATTATGTTCAAAACAGTTTTTGTTGTAGTTTTGTAAGTTTGTTGATTTAAACAGAGAAGTTATTTGTAAGGAATAATGGTATTTTAAGTCCCAGGAAATCAAATTCAGTAGCTGAGAAATTATGCTTAATTTTTTAAGATGAAGGCACTGTTGGTCTCCAGCTTAACTTGTCATGGGATCTGGGGCTAAAAGACAAATGGACAAAGCATGGGAAAACGGAAGATGAATTATTATGGAGTAGGGAGGGAGACCTAATTTGCAAGTGATATTTTTCCTGTTTCTAAATTCTAGACTAAACACACTAAGCTTGTTGTTATAGGAGAAAAGAATCCCCAAATTGATTTTGGCAAGGATGGAGTTGAAATATATTTCCTAATCAGCCATAGCAGCATTCTGCTAAACAGCATGTGAAGAGAGAGCAGGTTACCAGGTGCTGGCAAAAAGTGATGACGAGTCTCATTTGCAGAAGGCAATTCTTTTCCTTTTCTGTCCTTTGAGGGTAGGAGTTTCAGGGAAAGAAAAAAAAATGCTTCAATGGTAAAATGCTTTATTTTCCTCAATTAGATTTAGTTCAAATTATCTAACTCAAAAAAAAATTTAATTGGCTGTGTTGAAGCAAGCCTCATTTTTACTCTGAACTAGAGCTGAAGTGTTAATGAGTAGATCTTAAAGTGTCAGGACATGGACAGCTGTGCTTTTTTTTAGAGAAAAACACTCCTCCCAGTAGATCTGTTTGATATGAACTGTTGGATTACTATACTACTTACCCACTGAAGTTATGATGATATGAATAATAGTAACTGTTACGGCATAATCCCAAACCCATTCTTCCACGACCAGGGCAAACAGCAGACCACAAACGAAGAAAGTTATTTCCAATGATATCACAAGAACTGTAATTGAAAATGGAGTATTTACACCAGTTTTGAAAGGCTTGTTCTCATATTCAAAATTATAGCAATAGGAAGGTAATGAATGTCTGAGACATATGCAATTTTTTTAACAAAATCAGTTATTACACTAAAGTTTTCATCATAAAGTTTATTGCCACAGGGGTGGCATAGGTTGTATCCTGATTTGCCTATAGACTTTAAAATGATATGTATTTTATGTAAAAACATGAGGATTAACAGTATTATGACCATAAGAGGATTATGACCAGTTTATATAACCTAGAGGACAAATGGCATGGAAATTTTACTTAGGAACCACTCACACTCTTTGCATATGATGCCAGATAGATTTGGTTGGTGCTGCGATAGATCAAATTTTTCTCATCCAAAACAGAATTGTGTGGTTTAAGTCCTTATGTTTGGTAAGAAATTTCATAGCTTTCTCCCTGTTGACTTCATTGCATCATATATACATATAGGTGGTATATGTCAGAATATTTATATATATATATATATCCAAACAATTTAAATGTAGGATATACAAGGGGAGATAGAGCACAGAGCCTACGAGGTGAGTAGAGGCCATCCATCCCTTTGGATCTCAAGGTAGATAAAACCAGGAGCCTGGCTTTTCTCACAGCTGACAGGAAGGCCACCACAGCTCCCAAACTGTCGCCGTGCCTGACATTCAGCACTGAGCTCTGCCTTGTGTTTCGCCATGACTGGAGATTACCAGCAAAGTGATAATAAATAAGTTATACTGCCAGAGGAGAGTATTCAAGTTATCTGATCAAGAAAATTCCTGGTAACAGCATGGGCAAGCTGTGCCTCCCCCTAGGGCAGGGAAGTGGTCCAGAAAAGGACAAAGCAGCTACGCTGGGAACCTCACCACGGCATTCGATGAGCTGTATTCCCTGACACAACAATGGAGGGGTGCTTAGCCACCAGCTTGTTTACTTGCTGTTACGGGGAATGGGATCAAAAATAACCACTTTTAAGGCAAAGTTTGACTTTATGCTGTGTGGCTACCTGGGATGGCAGGAGGTTGAGTGGAAAATGCATGCTGTCTCTTCTGGCTGTCAGTCTTGAGTTCCCATACAACAGGCTATAATCGTGCATTTGTAATTCATATACTTTTCCATCTAAATGCATTCTGTTCTCTTTAAATACACAGGCATACGAAACGTCACATTTTTAAGGTGGTTTTTTTTCTGTCACAGTAATGTAATACCCAAGACTACTGCATTGTTTTTTCACTATCTTTAATTTATACATTTGGCAGAATTTTGTACCTTGCAATTTTATTCTTTTCCTTACATGATCAATTAGTTCCTACTGTATTAGGGATCTTTTGCCCAGCATTTTACAAAAATGTGAAAAATAAGAAAATGATAACTGGGAAAACCACATGTAGCTAGGAAAGTGGGAAATAACACTAAAAAAATAATGTTTGATATACATTTTAGTATTTTTAGTGTATTATATTTAATGATGACAATATCCCTTTAAATAATGACAATAATTTTATAATCTAGAAGGAATGCTTAGTGTAGACAGATGTCCTGTAAACTCTTTTACAAAACTGGGCCAGTGATGATACCTCAGTTCTGAGATGACTTGCATTTTTATTTTGAGGTTATCTTTTAAAGACACAATTCTGTTTTTCGCGAGCATAAGTGAGACTCTTGAGTAAACTAATTCTCATTTGCAGCATTATTCAGAGACCTTTGTTCTGTCTCTGTGTCCATTGTCTTTAAAAAGATCCTATTATGTTTTTTTACTCCATATTATTTCATTGGGTGGACAGAAAGAAGGGTGAAATACTAACTAGTGGCATGACAGAGTTGCTATCTTTGGCATATGAACATTCTGCATCAAACTAGCTGATAAAAATTTTGGGGAAAAAAGATCATATTGAGACACAGTAATTACATTAGGGCCCTGAAAAGTAACTCTAATGGAATATGATTTAATTTTCTTTTCCACTGCTGCAACTGAGATGTTCTTTATTCATCTGAAATCAGTATCGACACTGTACAAATATCCATGCATTTTTATTATGCTTTTTAATCTACTGGACTAACCAAATTGCTTTTGAGATTTACTTACTCTGCTGATGGATTATGTGGTTTACCTTCGTAAAATAGATGACAAATCTGGTAAAATTTCATGTATGCATGTAAGTTTTTAGGAGTGACAGTTTAGGAGAAAGAGTGTATTTTGAGAGCTTCACATAAAAATGCCGAAATTTGAATTAGGATATATAAAGATATGGTTAGGGATTGAGCTACAGTCAAACGCTGAAATTTTAATGCCCTCTGTATTCAGGCATTACCAAAGCAAAACTTCCCTTAGTTGAATATGACCTATTATTCAGATCTGGATTCAATGATTCATAAGAAATTTGCTGCAGCATGAAAATTAAATTTAACAACTTGGTAGAGGTACTTTACAGAGAATAGGTAATTGTTCTGCAATAAACATGAAGCGTCCTGGTGAAGCAGCACATTTTGTTCAGATGATGCAAGATCAGAAGAACAACTCCAGGAAAAGCCTAACAAACATTTGAATGATAGGCAGAAATAAAGATATGAGTAGTGCTGTCAAAATGAATAAGCATTTAAATGCATTGTAGTTAAAATACAGAAATCATTAGAATTACTGAAACAGCTTTAAAATACTGTCCATAAGGAGGACAAGTTTACATCCATGTACAATCTATTTTCATGACTGGGAAACAAAAGAGAAACAAACTTCAGTTACCTAAATAATATGGGTTAATCCATGAGGGATTTGTCTTAAAATCAAAAGGTGCCAAGCCATCCAACATTTTAATCCTGTGGAAATAAAATGAAAAAATTTAAGCAGAGATTTTCAATAATGCCTTAGTGATTATATGACATATTATGGATGCTTTTAAATACGATTTCAAATGGAATACTCTGGGCTTTTATAAGCTGTCTGCACCCCATTGTGTGTTGTGGTCTTGCCCTTGCACACAGTGTCCATGATCTCCACATTTATTTAAGAGGTATCTGGCACTATACATTGTAAAAAATTTCCTGGGTGACTCTAACTTGTCTTTTTTATTGACTATAAAAACTGGGACTGGATGCCTCCAGTCTGGATGCCTCTTCTACAGGGTCACAGCTCTACTCGTTATATCCAGCTGTAGTACGTCATCATGTTAAAGACAGGGAAATCTTACCTGAATACTGCGAAGCACACGGATAGGACCACATAGTATACAGTGTAGAAAACTACCATGCATATCAACAGGTTCGCCAAAACAACCTGCAAAAGGAAAAAACCACCGTAAAACCTAATGCCATGTTTACGTTAGGTACGTAACTGTTAGAAAATAATTCCAGTTTTTTATCAATCATAATGTGAAAAAAAAAATTAGAAAAAAATGGAAAACAAAATATGTGGACTAGACAGCTATACATTAAACTTGAGCAACTGCTTTGGGAATATTGTGTGTTTGCTTAAGAACTTGAAACTGAAGATATTTACTACAGTCAGTAAAGTGGTCAGTAATATCATTTTTTCTTTTCTATAGACTCCAGATTGTCTTATATTTTCTTACTCTAGCTAGTGCTTTATCATGTCATATTTCTCCTTTCCTCTTTCTTTACTTCTTTGTACCTTCCCTCTTTCAATGGCCATTATTTTAACTCCCAACTTTCTTTATTGTTTCATTGGTTTCTTTGCCTATCTCCTCCACTCTGCATCTTCTACTCTACTCTCCTCTGAAAAAGTATAGATAGAAAGCAGTCATGAGAAAGACAGTGACTGTAGAGAGAATTGCTACCAGTTTCATATGGTCCGTCTCTAATATTGTGCTCCATGATGCTTTATAATGAAAGGACCCATGACTACATTTTGCTTTTTCCTATTAAAGCATACCAGTTTCTGAGTTAGGAGTAGACTGTTAAATAAATTTTTTGTCCAGGTACAACAAATGCAATGATTTAAGAATTTTCTT